TATTAATGCCTTTCTTTATCATCATCTTCATAATTATTAATTCGCTCCACTGCTGGAAATCTTGGCAGGAGATCAGGAGTGGGGGAGGACTGCCACTTGTTAACACAGTTGTAATCTAAATGAAGAACTTACAAACATAGAATATTGCCATTTTTTTCTCAGCATTTTAGAGAAGCCAGTGAGTATTGGTCAAATACCTACAGTCATCAGTTCCCAGTTTATAACGTACAGTTTTAATATCCCTGACAGAAATCCCACTGCACCACAAATAAATGGTTTTCCTATTTGTGAACCCATTAACTGCAGATTTGCAGTCAGTGATTCTATTTTTCAATTTTGTCATACGTTTAGCCGAACATCCTCACTGCATGGAATAGTTCTCACGGTAGTATTCTTTCTCCTTTTTTACAACTGCTAAATCTGTTCTTTTGGCTTATATTTCAGAAATAGTGACCAAAAAATCCCATGAAGTTTTTATAGTCTTATTTTCTACAACTTTTTCCGTTCCATTATGATAATACATCTCTCCTATTTGCAGTCCATCCCTCATGCACAATGCTGAGAGCACCAAGCTGACAGCTTTGCACAAATACTTTATATTCCTTTTCCAGCAGTTTACTGTTTGTTTTATCCATCCATTTCAGTGTCTCTCACTGTTGTCTGTCTTGTTACTGACTCTCAGCAGCAGTATATTTCTCAATTAGTTTTGAAGCCTGATCCAGAATCTATTCAGTCTCCCCCCAATCTTTTACATAATTTGCTGTATGTTTATGTTCCTGTTCTACAGCAACACATCTAGACTAGACTAGAAATCATGAGTGTCTTACTACAGTAATTACGATTACAGCGTGGCATATGGATTGGAGTCTCGTTCTCACATGCATAGTATTTACATTTCCAGATAGTCTCCAAGCTGGATCACTCATAAACTAGAGGTGTAGAGAAGAAAAAAGAGAAAAGAAAAGGAAAAGGAAAGGAAAGGAAAGGAAAGGAAAGGAAAGGAAAGAAAATAAAATAAAATAAAATGGAAAAAGAGAAGAAAAGGAAAGAGAAGAAAAGAGAAGAGAAGAAAAAGAAAAGAGAAAAGGAGAAAAGAAAAGAGAAAAGAGAAAAGCACAGAGTTTAATTTTAACAACAAGGCAGTGATGTAAAAAAAGAGTGATTCACCCAAAATCCCATGAGAGCTGTAGAACAGAGCCAAAAAAAATGCATTTGTGACATCTAAGCTCCAGTCAGGAACAAAGCCACATAAGCACAGCTTAATCTCTTTTAAGGTTTGTGTTAATGCCTGCCTTTTGCTTTCAACCATCTCTATAAAGTATTTTGCAACATTCTGTTGGAAGGAGCTATATAAACTGTGATATAGTATATAGTTGACACATAAACTACTCTTCTGAACTTTCCAAGCTGAAATTGCATTGTTTTGGTTTTGCCTTTGTTTTTTATACCTCAGCTGCAGACAAGATTCATTGCTTTTGTAAGGAGGAGACATTAATGATCTTGAGAGTTTCATTTCTTAGATAAACAGAGAGGCATCAGTGTTGTGGTATCATTTTGCCAAATGTCCCACACCACCTGAACTCCTTTCATGGTACACTAGAGGTTTGTAATATTTAACACAGAAATCATTCTCCAATTTCATGTATTTAGTGCATGTGACATAAAAGTGCACATTTTAAAGACAAAGTTGCCAGAATTGTTCTTCCCAGGAAAATACAAAAAATGCTTTTAAAATCATTCTGAAGCTGGAAGAGGAACATGAACAGCTGCTAAATGTCCTTCAGGGCAGCCAAGATTCATTTCAATTACCCTGCACAGTGCATTTCAGGTGCAGCACAGCATTTTCAAGTCCTATATCTATCAAATATAAGCCTAACACAAAGTGTTATTTCCTTCCACATGTTATTTCCTCAGCATATCTAGTTCTGTTTCTCCCCCCCCCCCCCCTTTCTTTTCTGATATCCTACTGCTTTAGAGGAGATGCAATATATGTCTACTTCAGCTCTCACTGTCTGAGTTAAAGTAATACTGGTCTATACATATATTTCTGCTTTCTTGTCTCTTAAACTTCTGTAGCTGACCTTTGTCTGACTCAAACTCATATGCTGTCCACTCTTGGAAGGCTAAGAAGCCTTGTTTAATCACTGTAATATCCTGTCTAGCCTTTGAAATAACACCTTAATTTAGAAACCAAGAACAAATAGTAAATATAAGTCTGCGCTTCCGTTGGTGCACTGGGTTGTTTGAAGACAGCCACAGAGAGGAGGTTCCTGCTAAAAAAGGTACAGATGATGTAACATAGAAATGAAATATTAATAGAAAGGTGAATATTTTTTTAATGATGACATTATCCAGCTTAACAATATCATTTTTATGATTTTTTTGATATGTTTCTTAACATGTTTTCCAGCGAATTAGGTGGCATGGGATGAAACGGGTGAGGATTTCAAGGTTTTCCTTAAGAAGCAAATTTTACAAAATGTTTTCTGAAAAGAAAATAATGACCATGTGTACATGGCGTTGCAAGACTGGGCAGTAGTGAGCTATTTCCGTATGGAGGCATACCATTCGTTTGGTTCTCCATTTCCAACCCACCAGTAAATTTCCTCCCTGAGAAGGACTGTGCTCACTAGGAGACCGGTCAGAATAACTTCACAGGTACTGAAACACTTCTGATTCCATCAACATACGTGCTTCCATTTGGCAGGGTGATGCCCAGGACGGCTGCTTTTATTACCCTATGCCACTAACCTGCAAAACTTGTCTCCTCTTCTGAGATGCTGGTGTGTACCAGAAGCACCTACCCAGAGCTCCTATGCCTTGGCTAACTGTGTGGTGGGAAGTGGTAAGTAGCAGCTTCCCGAGTAGCTCTCAGTTGTACCCAGCTGTGCAAGGGTGTCTGTAGAATTTCAGGATAGAGCCAAGCACGTATAGCACAGTCAGGCTCAGGGGTGCAGTGTGCTACCTTCAGCAAGTGCTTTAAGTCATGCTCAAGTACTAAGTTGTCCCTTATTGCAGTATTTAGCATCTGCATGTTCAGATTACTAAAATTTAATCCCAGGCTCACAGCCACACTGCCAGGACCAAGCAGATATAGCCACTGTACACAAACAGGCAAGCACAGCAAAAGATGCCAAACTTTTGTCCATTTTCACGATTGTTTTAGATGAATGGAATTTATGGGTTTGTTTTCCTATGATTTAAAAAGTCAGTAGCTACAACGAGCTGAGGGACAGAACAAAAGAGACAGAATAAGAAATGTATGCTAAAGAAAGTGTAGGGATGCACATTGTTC